CTTACTTCACAGAGTGATCATGAGTATTCAATCAGGTTTTTGTTAAGGGCCTACTTTATGCCAGGTGGTGTCCCCAGCTAGGGGATACAGCAGAGCACAGAAATGACAAAGTCCCTGCTTTTGTGGAGTTTGCATCGTGCCAGGAGACAGACAACAAGCACACAGACAAATGAAAATGTATAATGTCAGTCCGTGGAAAGTGCTAGGATACAAAATAAAGCAAAGTGAGGAGGGACAGAGAGTGGGCAGGAGCTGATACTTCAGGGGGATGGAAGGAAGGAGCCATGCAAACACCTGGAGGAAGAGAATTTTAGACAGAGGGAGTGCAGGTGCAAAGGTCCTCGGACGCAAGGATTCCTGAGTGCTCAGGGAACTGCAAGGAGGTTGGTGGGGCTGGGGATTGGCCAGGAGCCAGGTTACCACACCTTGGTAGGCAATGGTAAGGGTTCTGGTTAAATGAGAAAACAGGTGTTCGAGTCTAGCTTCTCCCTCCCCACCCTGAACCCCTCCCCCAGCTCCCAAACAAACTGCTGCGGAATTTTTAACATTACAGCTAACAGTTTGTGCCCTGTTGATTTTTAAAAATACATAAGCTGGTTCTTATCTATGAGTTTGATTTATAAGCCTAATGTTCTGAGATCATTTGGAAAGTATACTGTAGAGATGTTGATTTTGCAATTGCCCTGTTAAAAGAAATTGTGTCGCCCTGGCCGGTTTGGCTCCGTGGTTAGAACGCTGGCCCACTGACTGAAGGGTCTTGGGTTGGATTCTGGTCAAGTGCACGTACCTCGGTTGTAGGCTGGGTCCTCAGTCCGGGGTGCGTGCAGGAGACTACCAATCAGTGTGTCTCTTTCACATCGATGTTTCTGTCTCTCTCTCTCTCTGCCTTTCACTCTCTCTGAAAAGTAAGTGATATATATACACACACACACATATATATATGTATATATGAGAAATCATGTCACCCTTTCCCTTTTCTTCCCCTCCCTTCCAATATCTGCTAAGCGTGCACTTTAATCCTGGCGAGCAAGTCTGATTACCACGTGGACAGCATTAGAATGAAGATTCTGGTTCAGAGGGGAGAGGCTGTTGAGAAAAGCATGAGAGAGAAACCACCAGGGAACAGGGTATTGAAATGGAGCATAACTTCTGGGATTAAAAACTTGCCCTGGAAAGGAAGCTTAGAAGCCAGTTGGGAAGCTCTAGATGATGTGATTTTCCTGCAACCTGTGCTTTTTGTGAAATCTCCCCCAGTTTCCAAAAGGTGTTGCTGGGCTGGGCCTAAGGCCATTGCCCATCAGTCTGAGATTTAGTTGCAGACAGATTTCTGAGGTCTGACTTGCTCTGCCAGGCGCCCCCAGAACAGATGTCCTAGTTTGAGGGGGGAAGAGCTCATGAGTGAATTATACCCTAGATGCCACTCTCTAATACAACTCCGGAACGAAGGGACGTCATTCAACCTGTCAGTGTGGGGTAGAGATGAAAGGTGTGGGCTTTGAAACTAGTTAGACATGGGTTTGATTCCTGTCCTGCCTGCTCTGCTGCTCAGGAATATATATATTCCATTACTTTTCAGAGAGAGTGAAAGGGAGATAGTCTCAAAAAGTTGCTTAATATCTCTGTCTCAGTTTTCCTCTCTGCAAAATGGAGCTAATAACAATACATTCTCCCATGGAATTGGGGTGAAGATTAAATTCCATGGAGAGTGGTTAGCAAGGTACTTGGCACACAGTAAGCACACATTGATTTTTAATATCTGGGCTGGAAAATGATCTCCTTTATGCATAGATTCAGAACCTGCCCAGAAGTGTCAAGTTGGCCAAAAAGTAGTCTTGAAGAATTATTTGTTTATCAAAAAGAACATCTTGATATCAAGACAAGAACCTGGACAGAGCTGTCCATTGGCCAGTGTTTCCTGGAGTTTTGATTTATAGGGCTGGGAGAGGACATCCCTGGGCTGCTGGGGTGGCTGTAACAATTCAGGGAAAAGTGGAGGGAGTGGAGGTGTCTTAGGCAGAAAGAACCAACAATTAAAATGAATTTTAAAGCAACCTGAAGCTCAGGCAGAAGTGTCCTTACTGACTGTGCCCTCGGTCCCCTGCTCTAATGCTGCTGTGAGTTATTCTTTACTGTGTCCCACATACATCTCTCTTCCCTCTTCCACCCACCCACCTTGGCCTTTCACACATATCACTCTCCCTCTCTTATTTCCATTTTTTCACCTCCATTCTCCCTGCACCCCCAATCTCCTCTTTTTTCTTTCTGCCTCTGTCTTGGATCTGGCAAAGCCCCCTCAGCCTGGCACAGAGAAAAGTGGTTTCTCAGCCTTGTGCAATGTGAACTTGAAATCTCCCAAAGGGCTGGTGGGGATACAGAGGGACACACCCTGTTCTTGCAACACCCAAGGCTGTCCTGAGACGGGAATATGCGATGACCCTGACCCGAGACAATGAGGATAACTCTGTTCCTCATTCCCTCCTCACCCCCAGCCACTATCTCAGTTCTGACCTCCCTGTTTCACCCAACACCCACCAGGACAGGGTGCACGCTAGATCCTTCCTCTCACTTCCCTCCTCCAAATATGCCATCCACCAAATCAAGAAAAATAAACATATTTCAAGCCAGTGGCACTTTGAACCAGACTCCAATCTCTTGAAACATCTGAAGCAAATACCTAAACAAGCAAGGCCTGCTGCTTCCATTAATTCCTTCCAAAATATACAAATATGTCTCAAGCTTCAAATACTATCCTTTGCTACCCAGATCCTGTCTGTCCATTAAAATTGGGCTTCTGTGGATTTGCCATCATACGTATTAATTAGGATTAGTTTCAACTACAAATGGCACACATTCAAAATTCATTAACAGTGGTTCAAACAAGATAAGTCATTTTTTATTTTTAAAGAAAGGGTATTTGGTCATAGACACTATGGGGCTGGGCCAGAAGCTTCAGTGTCATCTGGGACCCACGATCCCTCTTTCTTCGTATGTTGCCTTAGGGTGTAAAATGGCTGCTGGTGTTCTAGCCATTTCATCCCTATTCCAGGCAGCCGGAAGGGAGAAAGGGAGCATGCATGCTGGGATAGACAACCATCAGGTTCTGCCACCATTATTGGCACTTCTCTACTTGTCTGTCTTTTCTTCCGTTCAGAGGCCCCAGCCTATGAGGAAGCATCCCTTTCTCTGTAATGTTCTCATAGCAAACTGTACATCTCACATTCAAGTTACTCATTTAAATTAACTAACATTTATTGTGTCCTGCTGATATATCACCAGCACCTAGCTCAGCGTTTGACACAGAGAAGACTAGCAGAAGGTAGTTTCTCTCAGGGATCAAGAGAAGCTTATACAGCAGTTACGATGCAGGGTAAGACGCTCTGTGAGAGAGGTGTGGACATTGGCCGTGGGAGCACAGACGAGGATGGCTACTTGGAGCAGAGTGGGGAGGGGATATTAGATGGCAGCACCCCCAACAGGAGAGGACATATGAGCAGGGCTTTGAGTGACATACAAAATTCTGTCAAGCTAGAAGAATCAGAGGACTTTCAGGACTGAAGGAATTCTATATGCTCATGTAGTGAAGGGTTAAGGTCCGTGCACAGCTGGGGTTGGCTGGTTCTCCCATATGAGTGGCGTTCAAGTTACATGGGTTGAATGGCAGGAGATGATGGGAAGTTTATCAAAGAGGCCTTGTAGGCTGTTCCAAGCAGTGTGAATCTCTTCTTGTACTTCAAGTACTCTTGAATAGAGATTCACCTAAGACCCACTCAGTGTGCTCATTAAAGATGTACATTTTCTGGTTCCCTATTCCAGAAATTCTGACTCCATAGGGTTTCATTTTAACAAATACCCTGAGTGATCGAGAAATTCCCAGCATGGCAGTTCGGCAGCCAGGAGCCTGTGCTGAATTTAGGCAGATACAGCAGATGATCAGACTTGGATTTTAGAGAGGTTGCGCTGGTAGTGGTATCAAGGGTGGCATGGCAGGTGCCAAGGATGGAGGCACGAGGCTTGTTAGGGAGCTGTTACAATTGTTCAGGCAAGAGGTAATAAGGGTTGATTTCAGGGAGTAGCTGTAGATGTGAAGGGTGTTTAGAGAATCATTTTGGAAGTATAAATGGCAGGACTTTATGACCCTGATTGTGGCAGATTGAAAGCAAGACAAAGTTGAAAATAGTTAAGATTTCTAATCTTAGGTGACCTAAGCAGATGGTGAAGCCGTTAAGCAAGTTATGGAAAAGGGAAGCAGTTAAATAAGAGTTCCATTTGAGGGTTAAGTTAGTTTGGGTTGCCTGGGACACTCCTCTGTATTACAGTATGTGGACACACACACAATCACATCTCCCCTACTATATTGCAGACTCCTCTAGGGCATATATCTGACCTTTGTAATTGGCACTTGTCTCTTTGCTGAGTGTATGGCCACTTTAAATTAAGGGTGAGAAGGCATCCATAGAATAAGCAGATGACCCCTCCTCACCGACTTCCCAGAAGGGAAAATTAGTGAAACACATTGAAAGAGGGGTTCTAATTCTGAAATTGTGAAGCAACCCATGCTTTTATTTGTGAATCTAAAAGAAATCCAAATTTTTAATCAAAAAAAAAAAAAAGAAAAAGAAAGAAAACTTGATCACTTTGGAAAACATGAGCAGCTGTGACATTTCTGCCATGCCATCTCTGTGGGCTCTGTTCGATCGCTGTGCTGGATGCTGCACACAAACTTGCTTCCTAAGGGTGTCCTTGCTTACACATCTTTGTATCATTTGGCATACACGTTTTATCTTGTCCTTTGTTTTTGTTTTTTATTTGGGGGCCATGGTTGATTGTGATCTCTTTCTGGAAACTCATTTTTTGAACATGATATGCAAAAGAGTCTTTAAAAAAACACACAAAAAAACCCGTATCAATTTCACAGAGGCTGTTCTATTCCAGCAGCACCTCTCCCTCCTCCCCCTCCTCCTCTGCCTTCTTCTCTCTCTCTCCCCTATTATTTTCTGCTAATATCTTTTCCTTTACCCACTTTAGGCTTTCTAAGAGAAACTGGAGAGGAATCAGTAGTGTTCCTATTGGTAGAACCAACCACTGCCTGAGAGAACGGTGCACAGTGATGATTCAGGACCAAGGACAGTGGCAAAGTGGTGGCGGGCTCAAGATTCATACTTTACACTTCAGAGGTTATTTGTATCTCACGGATGTTCCTTAAATATTAAATCAAGTTGAAAATATGAAATATGAGTTAATTAACGTGTATTTCCATCAAGTTGACATAGCCTGCTAATACAAAAATGTCACCACTCTCTCAAATTTGTGTGCATAACTCTTATTTTCCTTCTGGTGCAGGTGATAGAAAAAAATGTTGATCCTGAAACAATGCTGTTACCATATCTGAGGAAGAAGCGTATCCTTTCCTTTGCTTTGTATTTGTGTGTGTTTGGGGTGGGGGTGAGGGGCTCCTAAGTCCCCATTCAGGTGACATTTCAAATGTCTTTTTAAAGCCACACTGAGTCCTATTCTCTGCTATTATGGCTTTATGTTCCTTGAGAAAGTCCTACACCTTACTTTGTAGGCAGTGCACAACTGTGACTGTCAGAAGCAGCAAGTTCTTTCCAATCTCTGCTTTGGCACTTAATATATTAAAGTGGAGAAACTAGCAATGGGAATGAAAACAATGGCTGTTAAAATTGCCTAATTAAGCATCCTTCAGAATTAAGAGTCACAATATTGACATTCTGTCTTCGAGGACTAATCATCCTGCCCATCAGAAAGAGAGAGCACAGAAATCTCCTGAAATGAAAGTAAGAGAACAATGGAGATGTTAAACCTGAGAATGTTACTTAGAAAAACTCTCTAAATAAAAGTCATCTAAGGAATGGATTCTTAGCCTGCGAGGCATGAATTCCAGTGGGCTTCCAGAGTTAAATTATATACAAAATTATGCTACAATGGGAGTTTGTACTTTTTTTCTCCTTCTGGAGAGAGTGAAATTCCCCGAGTAGTACACAACCAAAAAAAAAACTATCTTCTAGAAGTCACTCAAGATCATTGGACATAAAAACAGTGAGCACTGATTTCCTGCTTATCCATGCTACTAATGTGTAATATTTCAGATTTGGTTCATTTGCAAGTGACGTAAGATCCCCAATAACAATAAACAAGATAGAAGATAGAAGTTTATTCCTTTCTCATTGTGTTAGTTCAGGTTCTCTGGGAAGAAAAAAAAGGGGGCGGGCATTAAATGTGCAAGAGTCTTATTAAAAGAAATGCCTGAGTGAAAGGAAACAGGGAGGGAGTCAGTGACAACTGGAGAGGTGGATTTCAAAGCGCAGCCACTGGGTGTCTTGGTCAGCTACCCTCCCTGTTGAAGAAGGTGTGTGAGGCACATTCTCCTGGCTGTCATACTCACATAAAGGAATCCCAAAGGTAGGTAGGTCAGGGCTAGTAAAGCAGAGCCACAACATAATCAGGGAACCAAGCTCTTTATATTTTGTTGCTCCACCCCCCTCAGCATGCAGCTTTCTCCTCATGGTCAGAGGTGACTACTGAGGTCCAGCCATCACATCTGAATTCCAGCACATAGGAAGATGTAAGGGGTGAAGAAGCAGGCACCCTTCTCCTTTTGAGGTTGTTTCCCTCTTGGAAGTCTTACACAACACTCATGTTTACATCCCAGCGGCCAGATTGTTAACGACTCCATCTAGCTACAGAGGAGGCTTGGAAAATATACTTTTCATTCTGGGAAACCATGTGCGTAGCTAAAAATTGAGATTTTACAACCAAGGAAGATGAGAAAACAGGTATTGGGGAACATCTAGAAGTTTCTGCCACCAAGAAGCAGAGAAATATGGCAAACATGGATAATACAACAGAAATATTCCAAGAATTATTTACAAGTTGATGTTTTACTTTGTATGTTGCCAAAGACACAGATAAAGTTGAGAACAAATGTACAATGTACCCATATTTTCAAATACTTAAGCCCTTATAGGTACAGACTCTTCCTTTTCTTAGTTTGGCCGAATTTTGGGCAACCCAAGGTCCAGTTGTCTTGAAAGGGTGGAGACTAGATATATAACATGCAAATGGAAATTAAGAATTTACAATGATTGTAAATAATAGCAGCTAAGACATCCATCCATCATTTGATGATTATGCATTAATTTAACTCCCTATGTAAGTCTTTGATAGTGTTGTCTCCTAAGATCAGTGCTGTTCTGGAAAGAGAATTATGGAAAACATTATCCTTAACGGTACTTTTCCCAGTTCGACTCACAGGAACTAAGTATGGCTGTGGAGGGGGGGGCTGTGGCGCCTGCACAGTGATGATATCACGATACAACCCCGTTACCAAGAGGATAAGGTACCTTGCAGCCAAGTGCAGATTTGGTTGATTTTTTTGCAGTTTTGAACTTTGTTTTATTCCTTTCTTTGGTAAATATGCACTGAGCACCTACTATGTGACAGGGCCTGTGCTAAGTACTGGATACAGTGATAAACAGGACAAACTTTATCCAGGAATATGAATGGACTATTAAAAATGTGCCCCCAGTGAGGATAAGATATAGCCGGAGAGCCCCTGTCGTAGTTCTGTTGGGGGAATGAGAACATTTTAGTTGCCGCTTGGAGTTGGACATTTTCAAGCAGTAGGTTTTGTGGGATTGAGGAGCTCTGCATCCCACACCCTATTTCTTCTGAAGCACAATTTCAAATTCACTTTATTCCCCAGCCAACCCTGGCTCAGCACCTGCCTAGAGGAGGAAATAGGTGCTCGGTGATTAATCATGTGACTAGAGAGGAGCGCGTCAGCCCCTCATCCAAGAGAGAAAAAAAACAAAGTTAGTGGGAACCGTTCTGGAGTTAGAATTTGGAGGTCTAATTGAATCCCATCTCTGACACTCCAGCTGTGTCCCTGAACAAATCACCCTGACCCTCAGATTCTACTTTGGCAAAATGAACATGAGCTAAAGATAAAATGTATGTGCAAAGCCTGGGACATTATTCCAAACTTTGCATGTTGGAGGCACACGGTGAATGTTCTGTCCTGTGTCCCATTGGATACAAGGTGATTTGTGCTTTTCTTTCGCATGCGGAAGACACTCCCCAGCCAACGCCTGCATGATGCCCATCTGTTCAGCGCACGGTGCTGCCGTCACAACCGTCGAAGGCGTAGGAAGCACCAGGACCAGGATTCACCCCGTTCAGGTGAGGGGGCCTCTTCCTAGGATCGCTGGGCCTTGGAATCCATTCATGTCATGATGAGCCCCTGAGAGCAGGCTGGGCCCTCCTGCTTGGTCAGCCAACAGAGGAAACCAAGCTGAGACCCAGGAGGGAAACCTGGTCGTGTGGATGTTTTGTGACTGGCTTCTTGGAAAGATGCTTTCCGAAGTCTAGAGGACTTTCTCTTAAAAAGAAAAAAAAAAAAATGATCTCACTGGGGTTTGTCTTCTATGTTTTAATTAGATGACACCCATCCATTATTCACCTTACGTCTTCCAACCTTACAAAGAAATGAGATCCATGTGCATTGAGGAATATACTTTAATTGTGTTTTTTAATAAAGTGGAAAATAACATGATTTTAAAGCTGAATGAAAATCTCAGCTACCAAAAAGATTCGTTAAATTTAGGGCTTGTTCAGAAGACATAATAGGAATTGTTAATGAATTTTGAGGTTTTTCTCCTAAGGCAGCACCTTCTTAGAACTTTGCCTCAAGTGAAAGGGCATCTCTCCCAAGTCTTTCCATTATTTATGCATTTGCCATAAAGATGCTGTTGCTACATGTTTTTATCTAAGTTGATAGGGTCACTTATGAGGAGAGGGCTGAAGAGGGAAAAGATTGGGGTGACAGAGAAACTGACCAAACTTCAAATTCTCTGGACTTGAAGGAATCATGGGTTCTGTTTATGTTCTATGAAACCTCAACATGTAGAAGGAGAGAATTCTGCCCGGATACCCTGGTGAGACTTTGCTATTCACAGGCATGAAAACACACTTCCATTTAGTAACTGCTGCTAAGCTGCTGGTTGCAATGTAGCCAGGAGACAGCTTCCAAAATGAGGTTGCAACTTTGAAGTTAGATTCCAAAGAGAACATGCTGGGGGCGGTAAAGGGCTGGGAGAAAAATAAAGGCAGTATTTCCTTCTTGATCGTTTTCAGGATCAATAATGGTGCTTTGTAAACAAAGTTCTATGTGCCAAAGCATTAGGGTGTAGCAAGCGATAAAGGTACGCAGGAAATACTTGGAGGTGTTTTTTTTTATTGTTGTTTGTGGTTTTTTCTCCTCAACTTGAGTATAATCCAGTTCATTTCTCTTTATCTCAGTGATTCCCATTCAGGACTACAAATTGAAACCACCGGGGAATCTTTAAAACTATATGCCTGTGTCACACGTCTGTAGATTCTCAGTCAGTTGATCTTGGGTTCTGCCTTTGGAAATTGTTAAACTCCCCTCTTGATTCTGAAAGCTGAGAAGCTTGAGTGAAGCTCAAAAACTGTTGAGGACCAGTAATCATGGCCACTCAGCCCAAGAAAGGGAGGCACCTAGGATGAGAAGGATTTTCTGGGACCTCTTCTCCAACTTTAATGTACATATGATTTGCCTGGGGATCTTGTTAAAATGCAGGTTGTGATTCAGTAGGCCTGGGGTGGGGCCCAAGATTCTGCGCGTCTAACCCTCGTGTGCTTCCAGGAGAGGATCGCCAAGTGTCACGGCACCCAGTGTGGGTTCTGCACCCCTGGCATGGTGATGTCCATCTACACGCTGCTGAGGAACCAGCCGGATCCCACTCTGGATCAGTTAACTGATGCCCTTGGTGGTAGGTTATGTGTGTGTGTGTGTGCTTTTATTTTTAAATGATGATGATGATGACGACAAACACTAATATTGGACACCTGCCATGTGCCATGCCCTGTATTAAATGCCATTGTAAAAATTATCTCACTTACTCTTTGCAATAATTTTATATATCAACCAAATATCTCAAGTTGCCAATGAAAAAATTCTGACTTTGTGGATTAAGTGGATGGAAATGTCAAGTAGGGCTTCCTTCGAGGATGGGGTCCCATTTCCATCATGTGTGTGGCAGTCTGTACCTCTCGTTAGATGCCTTGATGAACAGAGCTGGGTTTTCTCCTCTAGGTAACCTGTGCCGTTGCACTGGATACAGGCCCATAATTGATGCGTGCAAGACCTTCTGTAACGTGAGTAGGAAGGAACCTGTTATTAAGTGTATTCCCCCCCATGAAACAAAACAGTGGGGGCTGCCAGGTGCGATTAGGGGATAGCCATTGGTGCTGACTCAGAGCTACTTTGCATCTCCAAGTCTGTAACTGATGTTTGTTATCGATCTTGGGCAGGATGCTTACCCCCACTCGCTGAGCTTGCTCTGGCAGCCATGTAATGAGTGCTAAGCCCTTTGATACTGGCTGTGGGTCATTGTCCCTGACCTGTTGCCTGAGTCAGCTACCTGGCCCTGGTGCTCCAGCAGCCCTCTGTGCCGCCCAATCACAGCATTAGTCACACAGTGGGGCAGCTGCCCATCTGCTCTTTCTTCTGCTCAGCAGATTTTGGTCTGCTTGACAGTAGAGGCCATGTATCTCCAGGGCTGGCCACCGTTCACTGAATGCGTAACCACTCAGTCAGTATTTGTTGAATGATTAGATGAACAAATAACCTTGCACCTGAGATTGCCCTTTGGAAGCTAAGCTATGAAATCAGTACATCGTAAATAAGGACAGAGTGATAATAATACTTGTTAACATGTTATTAATAAAATATTAATATTAAAAATAAACCATTGTTAATAGTTATTGCTGTGTGCCAGACTTTGTTATAAGGTCTTTATATTATGGTGACAATAGTTAATAATACTGTGTTGTGTACTTGGAATTTGCTAAGAAGATAGACCCTAAGTGTTCTCATCACACACACGCACCCACACAATGGTAATTATGTGAGGTAATAAGTATGTTAATTAACTGACTGTGGCAATCATTTAACAAAATATACATATGTCAAATAATCACATTGTATACTTTATTTTTTTCCAATGTAATTAGATATTTATTTATTTATTCATTTTTGCATTTGTTTTTTGTTGTTGTTCAAAATATTACAGATGTCCCTTTTTCTCCCCAATGACCCATTCCACCCTGTCCCACCCCCCTCCCCAGTCCCTCTCCACACCATTGTCCCTGTCCTTGGGTTGTGCATATATGCATGTAAATTCTTTGGTTACTCTCTCCCCTTCTACCCTTCCCTCTGAGATTCGTCAGCCTGATCCATGCTTCCATGTCATTGAATCATTTCTGTTCACCAATTTATTAAGTTCTTTAGATTCCACATGTAAGTGAGATCATGTGATGTTTGTCTTTCTCTGCCTGGATTGTTTCCCTTAGCATAATATTCTCCAGGTCCATCCATACTGTCCCAAAGGGTACGAGATCCTTCTTCTTTACAGCTGTGTAGTATTCCATGATGTAAATGCCCCACAGCTTTTTATCCACTCATCTACTGATGGGCACTTGGGCTGTTTCCAGATCTTAGCTATTGTAAATTGCTCTGATATGAACATAGGGGTGCATATATTCTTTCTGATTGGTGTTTTGGATTTCTAAGGATATATTCCTAGAAGTGGGATCACTGGGTCAAAAGGCAGCTCCATTTTTAATTTTTTTAAAAATTTATCTTTATTGTTGAGAGTATTACAGGTGTTCCATTTTTCTCCCCCGATTGACCCCCTCTACTTCCCTTCTGCCCCCTCCCCAGGCCTTCACCCCGTTATTGATTGTGTCCATGGGTTATGCATATAACTTCTTTGGTTAATCTAGGATGAGCTCAACTTTGCCTTAACTTACCATTAGCTTGAGAGGAAAAATCAATTCCTGAGTTGAATCCAAGGGCAGAAACTCCTGTAGTTTTCCAAGTACAAGTCTTTTATATCCTTGGTTAAGCTCATTCTTAGGCATCTTATTTTTTTAGTTACAATGGTAAATGGTATTGTTTTTTTAGTTTCTCTTTCTGAAAGTTCATTGTTGGTATATAAGAATGCCTCCGATTGTATACTTTAAATGTAATCAATTTTATTTATCAATTATACCTCAATAAAGCTGAAAAAATTCTTAGTAGAATCAGCAATAAATTCTTGGTTATTTATTTTTCACCCACTAGACTTCTGGGTGCTGTCAAAGTAAAGAAAATGGGGTTTGCTGTTTGAATCAAGAAATAAATGAATTACCGGAATTTGAGGAAGGAAATAAGGTGAGTGAAATATAAATTATTTATAAGGGTTTCTCAGGACATGGTCACAGACCAACCAACTTTCAGGAAGAATAAATAGCTGCCCAAGTTAAATTAATTTGAAGTGTGTCTACATGTCCCCTCTCCCTTCTCACTCCATCTCTGTAACACACACACACACACACACACTCACACCCCCCTACACCCCTATCCAAACAACTTCATTCCTCATTTAAGATATCACTCTCAAAGTACAGCTATCTAAAGGAAAGAAAACACACTGATATCATAGTGTTTCTTAGTATTTTTTTGTAAAGCCTCCTTCAAGTGTCTTTTTTTAAGAGCCAGAAGCAAAGTAGAGGTGTCAGGGAGATGAAAGAAGAGGTGGCAACTCAGGGAACTATTCTTGTTCTCAGCTGGCTTGGGTGCTGCCGCCAGTGTCCTCTCTTTCCCCGGACTCCAGGAGAATGTTCCGGCCGTGCAGGGCTTTGGAGGCTCACTGACGTCTGCACTGATCGCTAAGGCCCAGGCCTGTGTTAGAGCCCGCGACTTAGAGCCCAGCGATTATGGCTGGCCAGCTGGGTTTTGGTCTGTCTGCTCTATGTCTCTCTTCTTCTGAGCTCATTCCACAAAGGATTTAAAGTACTGTAGTTAGATTTGCTTGGTGACAGTAACTTTTGGTACTTTCTCTTTTTAAGGAAAATCCAAAACTCTTCTCAGAAGAGGAGTTTCTGCCCTTGGATCCAACTCAGGAATTAATTTTTCCTCCCGAGCTAATGGTAAGTTAAGGCAAAGTTGAGCTCGTCCTAGAGGAATTCATGGTGAAATGGCAGGAAGGGTATTTGCTTAGGAACCCTCTTGAAGGCTGATTGGCAAACAGATAATATCCATCTGTCATCCTCAGCTCAAGGCCTAAAGAGTGTGGGACCAATGCAGAGATGGGGAGGGAGGGTGGAGTCACCTTGAGGAAACAGTTGAGTGTAAGAAGCAGCAGGTGGTATCTATAAAAATGTTACGAAATGTCATTATGACATTTGTAGACTTAGACATGTTTTCTACTTCCAGTAGAAAACTGAGTTTATTCTTCCATAGAATGTTTTGACAAAATTAAGCATGTTAAAATATTTTTAAACATTGAAATGAGTTCCTTTGAGATATGAAAGCACCAAAAGGAGACACTGGAACCATCTCCAGATGGAGTAAAATATTGTCACAGTTTTGTTCTGATTCCTAGTGAAGCTGTACTTTTAGGTCATTTTTATTTTATTTTTTAAATTTCTATTTCCTTTCTTTGTTCCTACAAAGATAGAGCAAAACCAGGTGAAGATATTGTCCTAAAATAATCTCAAATCCCTATGGCTTTTCAATAGATAATGGCTGAGAAACAACCACCAAGGACCAGGATTTTTGCTGGCGATAGAATGATGTGGATTTCCCCAGTGACCCTGAAAGAACTTCTAGAAGCTAAAGCCAAGTACCCCCAGGCCCCTGTCGTCATGGGGAACACCTCTACGGGTATGCAGAAAGAACCCTAGGGATTTCTTATGAGGAAGCCTAAAGCGCTTTAGGGAAAAGAACCTCATATATGCATGTCTCAGGGAAACCAGCTTGGCTTCCTCAGCGTTGCTCAAAAGCCTTTCACAGCTTCCATTCCGTAAGTGAATTCCTGTTGCCCCTAATCGGAGCGGTGCACAGAGTTGCACCCAGGAGGCCTGCTTCTTGACGAATCAGGAGCAGCAGTTGCAGGGACAGCTGCCCTGTCTTCCCATGTGGCGCTTGTATCCGAAATGGCTCTTTGTTTCCTCTCAGTGGTGTCTCAGTAGGTGTAGGCTGCGGTGATAGGGTCCTTCTACTGTCTCCATTATAAACTCGGTTTGACTGCCCTCTTCTTTGAGGCTTTGAGGGGGCTCCTAGGGTCCTCCCAGAGGGAATTCTGAGTACGCCACACGTTGTCTTGGATTCATCAGCCAAGTTTCAAGGCTGAAAAGTCCAAAGGGTCCCCCAGTACAGTGAAAATTCATCTGTCTATTCTCTGCATGTGTGACTTGGCGATGAACAGACCAGTAGAAGGATATGTAGTTTCTATATATTTAAAGACACCAGTTTTAATCACAATTGCAGAATTAATAAGGCAGTTCGCCCCCTTTATCCTAATCTTTCTTTCCTTCTAATCCTTTAGGGCCCAAAGTGAAATTTAAAGGCGCTTTTCACCCAGTGATCATTTCTCCTGACAGAATAGAAGAACTGAATGTTGTAAACTATGCACGTAATGGTGAGTTCTCAAGGTCCCTGTTTTCTTAGCTGAAATGTATTAATCAATTTATTTTCTTTGCCCAGTAGATAACCAGAAAAAGAATTATTCCTAATTATAATATACAAAGAGATTCTCTTCTTATAAGAATGATAACATTCTGGGGAAGGCTCAGGGAAGAATTCTCTACAATTATATGAGATACTAATAGTCTGAATAGTCAGCTTTTTACTGAAGAACTTTCTATGCATGCCGTCTCGGAGAAATGTAGCAACTATTTGTCAAAGGGCACTGTGCGAAGTGCTGGACAGAGATGGAGATGACTAGAACAGTCTTGCTCTCCAGAAGCACAGGAGTAAGTGAAGCAAGTGTGTGTAGTAACAGCTTACAGGCTGGTTTTTCATTCTGATGAAGGAATTTGATTTAATTGCAATGGTGAGAAGCAATATAAATGAGAGTTTGGAGTCTAGCTCTGGAGTCTAATTCTTGACTATGTTATATATTAGCTATAAAAACCTAGTCAAGTTACTTAACTGAGTCTCAGTTTCTTGATCTGTGAAATAGGGCTAATAATATCTCAAAGGCTTGCTAGGGTTAAAGGAGATTCTATGGCTCATTCAATATAGTGCTTGACGCAACGAGTGTTCAAAACATTTACCACCGACACCATGTCCATCGCCACCACCAACATCACCACCAATGAGCAGGGCAGCATGTATCCAGAATAAAGATCTCATGTCCGTAATCTGAAATCTAATGGACATTTCCAGGTCAGCAGTACTCACACTGTATTATTTAGAAATGATTTCATTCCAGAGCTGACCTTGGGTGCTGGCCTCAGCCTGGCTGAGGTGAAGGACATCCTGGCCGGTGCAATCCTGAAGCTCCCAGAGGAGAAGACACAAACATTCCGTGCTCTCTTGAAGCATTTGAGAACTCTGGCTGGGTCCCAGATCAGGAACATGGCTGTATGTATTTGATGGCAGTAAACTGGTGTGTGTCCCTTGAATGACTGTCCCTGACAAATCATAACATTTTCACTCTTTGGAACAGGCAAAAAGAATAATTCTCCAAAGCCTTGCTTAATTCTTATTTCATCACTTGTGTTTTCATAATTACACAACTGGAGTGAAAATAACTAATTCTTTTAAAAAGTCTTTAGGGGGCCACATTGTGAGCAGGCATCTAGATTCAGATCTAAATCCCCTCCTGGCTGTGGGCAACTGTACCCTCAACTTGCTGTCAAAAGGTAAGTGACAGCTCCCCTTACGGATTATTAAATCTGCTCCTTTTACCCTTTGTCTCTCTGGGGATGCAGGAAGTCCACTTTTGAAAATGACTCTTCCTCATACTATTAATAATTCTCCCTGCCTTTCTGGAGGCTGGAATGGTGGTCAGTCTGGTCCTAATTCTACACACTTCCAATGTTTCCATCTCTTCCTTTTTGAGGACTAGTGCTAGATATTTTCCTGGTCACTCGACATTGACCACACTCATGTTGGTGGTGTCCAGATGTAACCTGAGTGGTGGAGAGAGAGAGAAGGAAGGAAGGAAGGAAGGAAGGAAGGAAGGAAGGAAGGAAGGAAGGAAGGAAGGAAGGAAGGAAGGAAGGAA